GCCTGGCTATTTTTTTGTTGCAGTTTGGTGGGGGCTGGGTTCAAACCCACCACCCTTGGCATATGGGGCCGACCCCCTACTCACTGAGCCACAGGCACCGCCCACCCAGCTAGTTTTTCTGTTTTTAGTAGAGACAGATCGGACTGTTTAGGCTGTTGCAGAACTCCTGAGTTTAAGCAGTCCTCCAGAGTGCTGAAATTACAGGCATGAGCCACCGCAACTGGCCCCCTGTGATATCTTAACTGTATTCCTATTATCCGTTTTTGGCCGTGAGTAATGCTCTGTACGCCCTATACGTTTCACCAGGAAATGACATGATGGTATGATCAGAGAGTTTTAGGTATCATTACCCTGATCTAATAATATGTCTCTCATAACTTTTTGTTGCTTTTTTTTTAAAAGTAGATATAGATCATTGCCATCAAGTTTCCTCATTTCTCTTCCCACTCAATCCTCAGTCCCATAGGCGATCACTTTTCTAAAAAAGTTTTCTACTATAGGTTAGTTTTTCCTGTTCTAGAACCTTATATGAATGTACGTATGCATGTACTCTTCGGATTTGGCTGCTTTCACGTGTTACGAACGATGGAGTGCAGAGATCAGAGATCACAGCTCACTGCAGAGTCAGACTTCTGGGCTCAAGGGATTGCAAGCTCCTACATCCGGCTAAGTTTTTCTGTTTTTTTGTAGAGACAGCTTCTTGAACTTAAGGCCTCAAGTGGACCTCCTACAGTGCTGGGATTGCAGGCATGAGCCTCCGGCCTGGCCATTTTCATGTTTTGAGTTTCACTTTGTCGCCCTTGGTAGAGGGCCATTGCATCATAGGTCACTGCAACCTCAAACTCTTGGGCTCAAGCAATTCTCTTGCCTCAGCCTCCCAAATAACTATGACTACAGGCGCCCACCACAACGCCCGGCTATTTTAGGTCTCGCTCTGGCTCAGGCTGGTCTCGAACCTGTGAGCTCAAGCAATCTACCCGCTTCGGGCTCCCAGAGTGCTGGGATTACAGGCA